CCAAAATTAAATCAAAGCTGATGGTCATGAAGTCTTTGAAGTGAGCTATTTCCAAGTTAAACATTTAATTGTGAATAAATGAGGAGACTATTTTGGCCAAAATATATTAGAGCAATTATCATTTATAGAAATAATATATATTTAATGTTTGAGCTGAATTGAACAAATTTTTATATTATGAATTTTAGTAATAACAACTACCTTTTTAAAGACAATACATCATGTGTTTAAATTCTTAATTATATAAATCAGATTAGGACTTACATAATCAGACATAGCCTGTCTTTTACCTTTTTAGCCCTGTTTAACTGTGGTCTGAAGGGGGACAGTTTTTCCTTCACTTTTTCAATTCTCAACTGATTTCTTCATATAGTATGTATATGTCCATAGAAGGAAGACACGTTACTGCACATAGATTAAAATTATTACTTCAGGATTCTCTGATAAATCCACCTTTTTAAGTAGCCCCCCATTTCCATTCATCTAATCTCATTATCAAATGGATTTTTAACTGCATTTTTACACTTCCTAGAAACAATTACTGCGTTCCTTACACTCACTAAGTTTTGTTTTTAATAAAGATTCCATAAATTGAATTTGACTTTTCATACAAACACTACGGTAGAAACACCTAACAATACCCAGTAATTAAACAAATAATCATGAATATAGCAATACTAAGTTATAAATTATATTCTAATAGTGTCAAGCTTTCTAAAATACTTATTAGCAGAAATACTTATAATATACAAATACTGTACAAAGTCCTTATCTTTATAATTCCTTATCATTATAATCATAAATTATCATATGAAAGTAAGCTTCCTCAGAATCACAGAATATGGAAGTACTTCCTAAAGGCAAATCTTGATGGATAGTTGTAAAGAAACTTTTTAAGAAAACATTAGGAACAATTAGGGGCTTTTGCAGAAACTGGTATTTCTGCTGTATTCATGTCATGATTGCAAAATTTCTTTTTAAATACAGACATAGTGTTCCGGTTGTTGGCCATTCTACTCTCTAGGGGAAAGAGGAGTGGATTCGTTTTGCTTTCTTTAGCAAGCAACCTCACCCTCTCTCCTAGTGTTAAGAAGGGATAGTATTGTCTTTTCAATTCCTAATCCGGTTCATTTTACTGAATTTTTCATTACTCAAGCCTTTATTACTGTTGCTACTTCTTCATGTTGCCTCAGTGTCATATGACTTCACAGCTTTGACATAGTGGTAATGAATGAGCTTGAGTCCAGTCCACATAATCTGGAATCTTTTCATCTTGGCCATAGGCCTTGAACTTTGCTTTATAATAAATTATAACTATCACTACAATTGCAGCTGCACTTTGGCACTGTTTTCCTTGTATCAGCTATGTAAAGGATACTATTTTACTAGAGTAAAACCAGCTTTATAAGAAGGCCACCAAAATGTTTATTAAGTTAATTAATAAAATTTTGTTTCACAGCCTTGTTTCAGTAGTTTCAAAGGACTCTACTAAAATGGAAATCTGAACCTAGATAGATTTTTTTTTTTTAAATAAAGGATAGGGTATTGAGCTCATGTGGGAAAAGAATGTTTTTCCTTTTTTATGATTGTCTAACATAATCTGTTTTTTAAATATGGAATATTTGGCAAAAATTAAAGATCCACATGTTTGATACCTGTTGTTGGAAAAGCTGAATTTCCCTGAAGAATTTATAAAACTGACTTTAAAAAAATGTATCCACACAAAATGTGAACTCTGTAATCCTGCCAAGGTCAGAAAGACCCAGAGTAATCATGTAAATTATTGAAAATTGCCATTTGTCTGGCATGATTTCTCTATGGCTTCAGAAATTGCAGTATATGAGGATGGAGTGTTCTTGGTTGGCCCAGTTCCTTCTTTTTCTGTTTATTCCCTTTATCTTCATGTAAACATCCCAACTCTCCTTACAATAATAGATCATTATTTCTTGGGGATCATCTGAGATGATGTTCCTTTTTATTGGAAACTTTCAACATTCATCTGTTTTCTTGTGATGTAAAATAAATGCATCAAATCTCTTTCAAATTTATCTTTATAAAGGTCAGCATTTTCCTGTTAATGTTTTAAGATTCAAGAAATGATGTCTTTAAGTAAAGTATTTTCAACATTTTGTGTTTGTCCATCTGGTTCACAAGAGATATTTAAGAAGTCAATTTATTTTCACTAGAAATGGTTTGCTACTACAAAATATACAGTTACAGGGTGCCTGGCTGGCTCAGTTGGTAGAGCATGTGACTCTTGATCTCGGGGTCATAAGTTTGGTACCAATGTTGGATATAGAGATTACAGAAAGAGAGAGAGAAAGAAAGAGAGAGAGAGAAAGAAAGAACACAGTTATGTCATATGTGTTATGTTCAGTTTATTTCAATAAAATGAACTTGAATATAAGTTGAAGAGATGAACGATTTATTTTTTAAAAGAAAACTAAATGTTCCATCTTTAAAATAAAAAAAAAAATGGGCTTGTCACTTTTAAGTCCCTTAACGGTTGAGGCCTCTTTGTATATGTAAACATCTTTGTTCTCAACTGCATAGTGTGGTGGCAGGAAGATAACAGGTGCTCAGTAAATATTTGTGGAATGAAAAACTATTCCCTACCCACATTCATTTATATGTGCCATTTCAATCCCATCAAACTCTTAAAAAAGAAAAATAATTATGTCATCAGCAAGAATCTGTATCTAGTACACTCTTACAGTCTTTGTATGTCTGAAAAAAGAATTATTTAATGATAGTTTAACTGGGTATAGAATACTGAGTTTATAGTTTTTTCCTCTCTGCATGTAGAAGGTATTATCTAACTATCTTCTGGTGGTGGTGGTATTAATGAGAAGGCTTTCTTCAGGTTGATTGTCCTTTCTTTGTGGGATATCTGTTTCTTTCGCCCTGCTAGTTTTTTTTTTTTTTTTAAGATTTTATTTATTTATTTGACAGAGAGAGAGAGAGGTAGTGAGAGAAGGAACACAAGCAGGGGGAGTGGGAGAGGGAAAAGCAGGCTTCCCACAGAGCAGGGAGCCTGATGTGGGGCTTGATCCCAAGACCCTGGAATCGTGACCTGAGCCGAAAGCAGATGCCTAATGACTGAGCCACCCAGGTGCCCATCTCCCTGCTAGTTTTTAAGATATTCTCTGTGATATAACAAAGTACAAGATTTATTATTATTTTTCCCACTAGAGATTCTCTCTCCTTTTTTGCTTTGAGGATTCATGCCTTCTTCAGTTACCTGACATTATGTCTTTGCATTATCTCTTCTATTTTCTCTATTCTTTTCTTCCAGTATTTTAGAAATTTTGGTATGTCTTCTTACTCTACCACTTTCTCAGCTATCACTGGAGGGCTGTTTAGTCTGCTGCTTTAACTCATATTTTGAGCTTGTTCCTATCTCTGTTTTTTATTTTAAAACTATATTTCCTTTTTAGAGTTTGTGTTTGGTTCTTTTTCAGATCTGTCTATAGAATACCCAGTTCTTGCTGGCAGATTCTATTCCTTCCTTTACCTTTCTGGACATGCTGATGATGTAAAGTCTCAGGTTGCTTCATTATCTAAAATTCCTCTGATTGTGTATTCTCACTCACACTTGTTACATCTGCCCATTTTCATGGTGGTGGGTTTTATATGTTCTTCATAATTTTTGCCTGAGCTCCTCCCCACCCCTCCCTCCACATTGGAATCAAAAGCATTCTCTGGATTATGGAAGTCTTCCTAGGGTATGTTTTTATATTCATCCCTCATTGAGATCCATAGTCTTCAGTGATTCTGAGCCAGTTTTTATGTTGGTTTTCAGCTTAGATTTTCCATACCACCCAGGTGCTACAAAATCAGATTCCACAACTGGCGCAGGCTGGGCATTCCACATTTCACCAGTGATTCTTCTTATCTAGAGTAGGACGGTAACCTGCTTCTACCCTGTGTTCCCAATTTGGGCTTTTCTAGCTTTAATTTGCAAACTGGGTATCCTCTTAACTCCTCCTTTGTTTTTGGTTGGTTTGTTTTTAATGCAGGGAGTTCAGTCATTTTCCTCTCCCCTCTGGACATGGGGTCCTGCAGACTATAACTTAAGGCATTAGCTCCCATTCACCACTATGTTAATTCTTTGCTTTTTCGCACCTACTGATTTACCTTTCTTACTTCTGAGCTCAAATATAATTTTGCTGTTGTTGTTGTCAAATTGTATACAACATTTCTCTTTTTGGAATGGGATGGGACTTGCCACATATTCACTGTACCATCTTCTCAGGGAAATTGGAACCATACAATTTAAAATTATTTTTTTTCTTGACCCAGTGTTTTTAACAATTTATGTTAAACAAGCAACCCATGTAGTCTGTAAAATAAATATGATTTTATCTATAATTTCAACCAACTGTAGTTAGCGTCTTAAAATCACTGAATATCCTGGCAATCCAGTAGAGATTAAAAAGTAGGATTTATGAAGATAGTTTCTTATTTAATTATCACATAAAGATTGTTATTTTTTAAAAGTTTGGCTGCTTATGTAAAATTAAATACCTGAAAATCTGATTAATAATATTGAGAGAAATTACTGAATTTAAGAATTTTAAATATCTCATTTTTATGCCATTATTTTTATAATCATTAATTTTTATCCTCACTTAGTATTGTGGATATCAGCATGTATATAGTATGCAATCAGTCTTGACAATGAAGGCATTATCTTATTGCTATTACTTTTATTATATCTTTAAGAAAGCTATATCTTTAACATATGTCTTAAACCATAGACACCATGGAAACATCATAGTATTGCCATTTCTTTTATATATGTCAGAAAGATATAAAAGTAATTTTTGCCCATGTCTTCTTTTTAAAAATCTAGGTTAACATCTCTTACAGTGCTATCAGTTGGAGAATATGATATACTTGATTATAAAGAGTTTGGGGAAAAAATAAGGCCATCTCCGCATTGAACCAAAAATGACTATTTTTTTCAGACTTAGTTTTTGCTTTCCTTCTCTTTTCAGACACAGAAAGAAAAAGTGAAGACAGATACACTGACACATACAAAGAAAGGTCAACAGCTAAGTGAAGGAAGCATTTCATTTCCCCTCTTCATTTCACATCCTGTAAGCCAGAAGAAGAAAAAAGTCTACCGCACAGATCAGACCACATTCATAATTGGAGAAACGCCAAAAGGAATCCGCAGGTATGTTTATAACAATATTGGACTTTAAGAATTATTCTCAAAAGAAATATAGCTACTTAATAAAATACACAAATTATTTGAATCTTAACCATACCTGGCATCTAAATTTGTACACTTTAAACAATAAATTCCAGATATTTTAAATGTTTTTAGAAAGCTAATCCCTGAATTGATAAAAAATCATTTTAGATCCATTTTATATGGATACATGAAATACTTAAGTGCATTATATTCATTCACTGAATATGTATTGAGTACCTAATATGTACTCAGACATTGTGCTGAGTGCTGAACGTATAATGTAAAAAAGGACATAGAGCTTAATATGGCATTAAACCATAAGAATTTTCAAAAGGAAAAAAAACTTATAAATAATCATAAAATGATAAAAGAAAGAAGTGGGCAGGCCTCCTTGATAAAGAATAATGGGATCTGGAGGAGGTGCAGATAGCGTTCTGTTAGGTACTCAGGGAAGACCTCATGACAGAGTTGACATCTGAGACCTGAGGGATAACCAGGCAAAGAACTAGAGTAAGGACATGCCTGAGGAGGGAAGAGCTTGGTGTGTTTGAGGAACTGAGAGAAAACTCGTGTACTTAGTACATGATAAACCAAGCGGGCAGCCATAAGATGAAGGCCGAGACATAGATGGGGCTGGAGCAAGCAAAGCCCTATCAGGTGCGGACAAGAGTTTGGATTTTATTCCAAGTGCAGCCAAAAGCTGTTGAAGCATGAATATGATCTGATGTATGTTTCTAAAAGATTGTTCGAGGTTCTGTGTGGAAAAGAGCAGACTAGGGGAGACCATAAGGAACTAGTTGATGGTGGTTGGCAATAGAGTGGTTGCCATGGAGACAGTGAAGTGGATGACTTCAGTTTGGTGCTGGACTGGTTGTTGGAACAACAGACTGGGTTGACTAAATGGGGAAAACGAACAGAGAAAAGAGTTTGGGGTGAAAAAATCAAGAGTCCTCCTTTGTTCATATTAAATTTGAGGTTCTATGGAAATGCCAAATAGGCAATGGATATGCTACTCTGGGGTTTGGGGACTAGAGATCTAAATGTGGAAGTCATTGGCATCGAGATGATAAATGACTTTAGAGCCACAGATTGTGTGAACAGTCTAGGAGCCCGGCACAGAGAGAAGAGGAGAAGCCCCAAGACTGAGCCTTTAGGTGACAGTGGCCCGCTGGGTAGGAGGCACAGTATAAGGTCCTGAAATCCAAGAGGAGTGAAGTTTCAAAAAGGAGGGAGCACTTCACTTTATGAAATGCTTCTGAGAACCAGAATCAGATGAAGTGGGAAGGTACCTCCCGGAACTGGCAGCAGAGAACTCATTGGCTGCCTTGATGGGAGCTGTCTGCAAATCTGTGGACAGACGCCGGGGTGAGGTGGGCAAGCAGGGGATGGGCAGACCCTGTGCCAGCTCTTGGAGAGTAAAAAGGAACAGGAGCTGGAGGACGTTATCAGTCAAAGGTAAGTTTTTTTCAAGTTGGGAAGATAATAGAACCTGTCTGTGTGTTGAGAGAAAAGCCTAATAGGGGAAAAAGAGATCATGCTGGAGCCATGCTAAGAGAAGCCCTGGAGGCAGGAGAGGGTGAGGTCCAGGCCCCTGCAGAAGGTCTAGCCTTCTAGATGAAGGGATGAAAGACGGGCACTGATATGGTGCTATTTCCTCAATTAATTGAGAATTAAAGTATCAATTCAGAGGGAGAGAAATTTCAGGTGAGAAAAGCCAGGAAATAAATCACTTATAAAGTAGGACAGCAAGCTTAGTGAGACTAGAATTCATGGCTCATGTTAAGTCCCTGTTTGAGAGCAATTGCAGTAGAAGCATCCATGCAGTTGTGCAGACTTTGTTCAGTACACTTCAATTGCTCAGTTACAGACACAGAATAGAGAGATGGCTGGGGTTTATTCAGGGGTTAGAATGGAGGGAAGCTGAAGGAAGTTTGTAAAGGAGTAATCACGAAAGTGAACCTAAGCTAAACAAGGGGAGGCTTGATGAGGTCAGAAGTATCTTCCAGCATTGTTGTCATGGGGGAATTGAACAGTTGAGCTGGTATATAAAGTGCCTGAATTCAGGGATTTGCAGGTTGTGCAGTTAATGGTAATGATGGTGGCAGTCTATGGTCTTGGGAATAGGGACCTGACATGCAGTTGATTCTCGGGTCAGGAGTGGTAAAGAAATTGGTGGGGCCAGAGTTGGAGTTGAGTGGGGCATCCACACGGATATTGGTATTATCAAGAATGATGGCAGGAGATGGGAAAGGAAGCAGGATTAATCTCGGGTGTTCAGTCACTAGCAGGAAGCAATTAAGAGGTCACTTAACAAGTTGAGGGAGAGAATGGTTTAGCGAGATAGCATAAACCTCAAAAAGGGGAAGGAGTCTCCAAGAAAATGATGGTCTGGAAGCAGCAATGTGAACCCTGAACCCTGAGATTTAGGGTGTGAGGTATAGCCTTAGCTTGTAAGGGCTGCATGGGAAGAGGCAGTATGAGGGGACAGAGGGATGATTCCAGGGGGAGAACAGGGGAGTTGGTAGATCGTGGCCTGGTTCTGGGGCACCAAAGAATGGTCTGGAAAGGTGAGGGATTGGATTAGATTGGGGATGAAGAGACTAGGAGGAGATGAGAGGCCAGTGGTTCCAGGTAAGAGAGCAGTGGCTGAGGTAGGCAGGGATGGGAGGCGGGGTTGAATTGGCCCTGAAGGCTCAGCAGGCAGTGGGCAAATGGTGATGGCTCTCTGGGTTCCAAATTCTTTCCTCAGGGTTCGGCAGCTCCTCGGCCCTTGGGTACTGGTGTGGTAGGTTGGAGTGTGGCTCTTAGCTGTGCACCATTGCCCAGAAAGGTGAACACTCCACACATTACACCAGTGTATCTCCTCTTAAACAGACTTATAACTATGATTCTGGGCAAACTTGGGACAATTTACTTTGGGCAATTATTTTGCTCAGAGGCCGACCATAATGCATTTTACCAGTTTTTGAGGACACAAGTGTCCTTATCCCCTCTAGCACTGTATACAAAAATAAAACTATTAACAATGCTTAGTTTTGGCCTCTCTTCCTTCTTTCTCTACCTAGCCTAGGTAATAAATGCCTCAGGCTAAGTGAAAGGCTAACGGACCAGCATCTGAGCCAGGGAACAGTGTTAGAACTGCTGACACGTCTTTCCTGCCAACCATCCACCTTTATGAGAATCACGGCTCTGTACCAGCTGTAGCCCTCGGGGCACTGGAACGAACTTTCTGTCCCCCTTCACTTCAGAAAGCTCAGGCAAAGAGAAGATGGTTTAGCTGTGTTCTACCCCTTTCCCTCAGTTCCTCAAGAACAGGGGAGAGAACATGAATTACATCCATGGCAGACAACTACTCTGGATACTTATCTTTGGTTTTCTTTTTTTTTTTTTCTTTCTCTATAGTGGCTCATGAGTGTCTACTCTCGTTTACTAAATTGTCCTTACAAAGTGGCTAGCTTATACCTCCTGATTGTACCTTGCACTTCCTTAAATACTTAGAGAAAAATTCTTTTAAACACCAAGAATTATGAAAGCCAGTTAGAAGGCAAAAATAAAATGAATTATAATCGTAATTCATCTTGTGAAGGGACATCCGCACAGCCTAATTTACTTGCATATTACTGACATAACACAGGGTCAGAAATAGGTCTCCTCCCAGAAGTGACAGAATCCTAGGATTGTGAGTGAGGTCAGCACAATAAAGGTGAAAGTACTTTGGCAGTTGCTGAGATACCACCAAGTCTTGGATAAATAAAAAGACATCAGCCTGTACCTTTGCCATTAACTTAATCTTCACAGCACAAATATTTATTAGAAAGGCCATGAAAATGGATTTGGAGATGATTAATAAACAAAATAATAATACCTCATTACTTCATATGAAGTGAACACTGGAACCTTTTAAGAACGTGCTTGTTGCTTTCCAACAAGAACATTGGCAATTTCCAGGACAGAAATTTGGAAGCTTGTATTTGTGTTATTAAATATTCTGTTGGCAGTAAGAGTGGCTGTTGATCAGGCATAGATGATATCTGGACTTGGAACAGTTAATAGGACCAGTGTGGTGTGGACTAGAAGCCAGCATACTCATCTGGAGCCACGAAAGAAAGTCCTGAGCATGCGGGATGGATTGCCGCTAAAATCACAGGAAACAAAAACTTTATATAACCTGGCCTGAGCAGCAAAAATAATAGTGGCTTTAGAGCTCCTACTTACATACATTACAAATAAATCATCATTTTCCCTTCAGGATTCTTGGTTGTGTGCAGGAGAAAATTCAAACTTCTGAAATTGGCACACAGACCCCTCATGATTTTCAGCCTCTTCCTTGGCCGTTTCTCCTGCCCCTCTGTACGCCAGGTCCTCTCAGAAGTGGGCCTGTGCGTGTTTCCCCTCTCCCTGGAACGTTTCCTCACTCATCCTTATCTGACTGGTGACACCAGAGAAGCCTGTCCTGCTACCTTACCCATGACCCATCACTGGCTTCAGTACCCCTTCTGTGGGCACCCACAAGGCCCTGTATTTACATCCGTAGTGGGATTTATCACTCTCTTCTGGTTTGATTTTCATGCATCTGTCTCCCCTAGCTCGACTATAAACTCCTTGAAGAATATGGTAGTAGGGCTGTTCCTGGTGCCTAGCACATAGAGGGTCTATAAATATTTGTTGAATTCATAAATGACTGTTTTAAGGAAATATTATATAAAATATAATTCTAAAACTTTGGGACTTTTAATCATGTGCTACAACACCATCTTTGGCTTTTGTTTGAAAGAATGTTTGGGAACATTGAGCTCTCCTGATTCATGGCCCAAACTCAGCATCAGCAAAGCAATACCCTCTGTCTTAATCTACTCTGTCTCCCCTAACGAAATACCACACACTGGGGCTTAAACAACAGAAAGTTATTTCTCACAGTTCTAGAGTCTGGGAAGTTCAGGATCAGGGTACCCGCTGATTTGGCTTCTGTTGAGGGCTCTCCTCCTTGCAGATGGTGACCTTCTCACCATGTCCTCACGCGTGGAGAAAGATCTCTCTGGTGGCTTCTTATGACCTCATTTAACCCTAATTACTCTCTAAAGGCCCTATCTCCAAATATAGTCACACTGAGGATTAGGGCTTCAGCATATGAATTTGAGGGGGACACAGTTCAGTCCATAGCACCCTCATCTGGGGAAAGGAGCAGAGTCTGGTGTATAGGGTTCTGAAACAATCTTTCTTTCTGCCTTTGTGTTACAAGGGTTCTGGAAGGCCTGTTTCCTCACACATGCATACAATAGTTTTTATTAGTATCTTATACTAAGAGTGAAACTCACTGCTTTAAGCATCTCAACTTCTTAGTTTAACTGTCTATACCCAAGTTGGACCAGCTGGGGGAAGAAAAAATCTAGGTTTATCTAGGTTTAGAATTTTCCTTTAGGATCATCATAAAGCTGTGTGAAATTTCAATGTTGTATTTGTGGAAGAAGGGAAAAAAGGAGAGAGAAGAAAAAAAATTCCTTTATTTTTCAGAATTTTCTCTCTTCCATTCATTATGACCTTTCTTTGACAATTGTAGGATTTAAATGCAATATAGATTTTCAAATACAGATTATATAAATTATGATTCTCATGTCAGTCATAAATTGGCTGACTGGAGGAGTAGCATGCTGGGATCCCACAATTCCCAGGAAATACCTAATAGTATAAATCAGAATAACTTAAAAAGCTGGTGATTTCATGAGCTAAAAGTCTTTTTTCAGTAGCATGAGGAAAGAGGTCATATCCTGCTAGTATAAAATGCATTTTCATTATGGAATTAAGCTAATATATACTAAATGAATAAAATTACAGTTGACCCTTGAATAACACAGGTTTGAACAGTGTGGATTCACTTATAGGCAGATTTTTTTGGTAAATACCATACTATAAATGTATTTTCTCTTCTTCATGATTTTCTTAATAACATTTTCCTTTTCTCTAGCTTACTTTATTGTAAGAATATAGCACATAATACAGCACATTCTCTATAACGCACATAACATACAAAATATGTGTTGACTGTTTTATGTTATTGGTAAGGTTTCCAGTCAACAGTAGGCTAATTTTGGGGACAGTCAAAAGTTATACTTGTATATTTGACTGCATGGGGAAACCTAACACCCTTATTGTTCAAGGGTCAAATATACATTGCTTTATCTCTTTAAATATCACTGATGATGAGTTCTTTAAAAATAAAATATAATAAAAATAACCACTGCTTTTGTTCATTAACTCTTCAGAAAACAATTTGAAGAAATGGCTTCTTATTTTAACTTGCCTTCTGTAAAGGAATTTGCTGAACATATAACTAAGGCCACATCAGAAGAACGACAGAAAATGCTAAAAGACTTTTATGCTTCTCAGTATCCAGAGGTAAAAGAATTTTTTGCGGATTCTGCTGCAGAATTCATTAAATCTTCCCATCAGAAAAGAGAGAGAGTCAGGAATAAGTCTGAAAAAAGAGAATCTCTTATAAAAGAAAGGCTGTCAGATTCTGAAACTTTGTCATTTAAAAATTCTCCCAAAAAAGTTTCTCAAATTTGCAGCCCAAAAATATATAAAGAAAAATCTATTAAGTTTCAAAATCACAGTTTCCATAGAGGAGAGGTGCTTTCTAATGATGGAGAAACTAACGAATCACCTATAAGCTCTACCCAAGAGACTGACAATGGGAAAAACAGCCAAGCCTCCAAAGACACTGTGGCATCCTGTTTCCTGAACACTAAGTCTGAAGTATATGAGTTAGAAAAATTAGAATATACCATGAAAGACCAACAAGACCTAAGAAGAACAGGCATTTCAAGAAATGAACCACTTTTCGAAGTGGAAAACAGAAAGATCAAAAATCCAGAGTTAGGCAACACTTCTGTGGTTCGCTTACTTGGTGACACGTCCATTCTTGATGACCTCTTTAAAAGTCATGGGAACAGTACCACACAACTGCCAAAGAAAGTTCTTTCAGGGCCCATGGAAAAAGCAAAACAGAGACCAAAAGATTTCTGGGACATCTTGAATGAACAGAATGATGACAGTCTTAGCAAACTCACTGACTTGGCAGTGATAGAGACTCTGTGTGAAAAAGTGCCCCTTGCTGCCTCCTCCAAAAGGAAAGAGGAGCTGGAAACTTCACTTTGGAAATCAAATGAGAAATTTTTGTGGAAAAAATTTAGCTCAAGTGATACAGATGAAAACACAACTAATGTGCAAAAGTAATGCATAAACATACAATGAGTTACTATAACCAGTGAATTTCTGCCACCCATGTTTACAACACCGTGTTCCACACTAAGTATGTTACTTTGAACACAGTTTTTATTAAATTCTTGCTGTAGGGTTGTTTTAGCCTAAAAGGTTTTTCCTTGATATCTGATTTGGTCTTTTAAAAATATGATTGTATTATAGTATCATCATCTTTATGAAATAGAAAAAGGTCTAGATTTGTTATCAGGAGACCTGGGACATCTCCCTTACTGTGTAATTATGTGCCAGTAGATAAGTCACTTACTTACCTTGGAGTACAGATATTTCCTAATATGAAAGATGAAGGCTTTGAACTCAAGCAATATTTGTGTCCTTCCAGATTAAAAAGGCTTTGGTTTACTTTCCCAGATTCCATTAAGTCACAGGTCAAATTACGGTACATTGATGTGTTTCTTTCTTACTAGCATTTAGAAAATTAACTGTTTTCCTTTTCCCAAAGTATCATGTATTATTACTAAATTATGTCAGAGAAAGTAATACCTAGTACTGAATATATGATGTTGTGTTAAAATAAGTTTATCACTGCTGAAAATCAAAGGGTTAATGTTGTATAACTGTACTATATGAGGTATGACACCGAAGTGATCGAACTACTGCCGATAGCCACAGAACGCAATGCCTCTCCTCCACTTGCTGTACAACAGTTAAGATTTAGTCAGTACAGATTAAGCTGTGTGTAGTACTTTTGTATGAAGTATGGAAAAATGAAGAAACGTTTTATTTAAAACTGTTCTATTTTGTTGAATTTAATGTATGTGGTTTATAATCAACGGAATGTGCTTATTGTTGAATTCATTTCTGTGGAAACATTCACTTGGTCCCTGTGTGTCCCGCACCAGTGGCTCAAGATGTGCAGGTGAGGTACCGCTCCGGGTAAAGGACAGGAGACCGCATCTGTGAAGAGTCCTGGCTGTAAAGGCCAGCGGGTCATGCCTGGCACATGGTAGCAGGGACTGAGGCTTCTACTGACCCACATTCAGATGCACTGTGGCCGCTGTCCCTGGGTTGAGCTCCCGGAGCTAGGGCAGGAAGAAAAATAGGAAATCGCAGTGCCCCAGGAAGTGGTGATGCTCAGAGCGCCGTAGACCGTTGTTGTGTTGAGGGGGCAGGGCCTCCAGAGTACCCGCCATTGCAGTGGGGAGCCATGTGGGAGATGGAAAAAGCAAACAAAAACAAAGAAACAAAGAAATCGTTTCTCAAGGGACTGAGTGACCAAATACGATTTTCTCTGTGAAATCTATTTTATATCATGACCCAGTACGTATGTGTTAATACAGATTGAAACAAAATGTTTATGAAATAATATTTACCCATAAGGCATGTAGTGTCCTTTGATATCTCCTTTTCTGTTGCACTTTTGGCTCTTATGTCTATGTGTTTTTTCATGCTCTCATAACCCACTAAATTGATTTTATGGCCCATTAATGATTGGAAATCACAGTTTGCAAATCATTGTTTTAGATTATATGGAATTAGTCTCTCTCTTTTTTTTTTTTTTTTTTGGCTATTTTCAGCTGAGTTGTATCCAAACTTACCAGATGCTGAGTTTCACCACGGAAGTGCTTGCTACAAAATCAATGTGTTGTGTATCTGTGGTAGACATATAAATGTTGTTAGCCTGCTCTGGCCTAGCTGTAGGAGGAGCCCAGATAAGCAAGTAGACACCCCTTCATCTCAGTTTACATAGCAGATGGGAGAGTTCAGTCGTTTTAGTAAAAGTGGATCTTTCATAAAATAAAATAACTTTAAAATTTTTAATACAGATATGACCTTTGAATCATAAAATGATATTCATACAATATAATGAAATACTATTAAAGAGATTTTTATCAGTGAAAGTCAAAGTGGAAGCAAAAATTACAGACCTGGAGTTTAAAAACTAGTTTTCAGCAGTTGCCAGTGAAACTGTCATTATTATCATGCGGGAGCAGCGTGTCAAGCAGAGTACAGGGTCCAGTACGGAAAGGAGCCAGTCGGAAAGTTCCCGGAGGGAAACCGTAAGGGTCGACTTGCCCCGCACCGGAGCAGTGGGAAGAGTTGGATCAGCCATGGATGAATCTGGGAACGGACACTACGAAGGGCTGACAATGAGAATCCTGCCTAGCCCACCCCACCACGGTCTTTCAGATAAATAGGCGGCCCCAGGCAAATCCCAAGGCTTCTTTCAGCCTGTTCCCCCCTTTAAATTTGAGATGGATGTGATCACTGGTGTTCAAGCATTTTTTTAAAGCAACTGAACTCTATCTTAATTAGAAGATCAGTTGTCGAAAATAATTACAAATGGAGGTCTGCTGGTTGCAGCAGCACCGCCGTGGCTCCATGGGGCACTAGTGTGAAAAACCACAGGGATGATATCACTGCTAAAAAACCTTCCAACTTCAGGTTTCCAAGATTCTGTTTGCCACAGTCTGTCTTGTTCACCTCTCTTTAAAGCACTCAACACACAGTTATAATATTGGAAACTGAGGCAAAATACTGAGAGGCTTTTGCACTTGAATTCCCTGGGGTTCCCTTAAAGCCTTGAAACACCTTCTCAGAGTAAATTAACATCACCTGCAGTCGTGTGGCTGCCCCTATATGGTCAAGGCAAAGGAACCTTGGTTTGCAGAGAGGAGTTGGTGATAAATTTTCTGACAGTCCACAGAAAATGAGAAAGCCAAGGACAGTATAGTTCAGAGGTTTTAAAAGCCCAATGTGGGCAGTTTTTAAATTCTGAAGTTATCCTTCCTTATATTAAAATTGTCCTCTTTGTATGAAATGATAGTAGATCGTAGTTTTTAGTCTTTTTCATTGTCCTTACTTGATATAAGTTGATAACCATATGTCAGTTCCCAAAAGTTTTATTTGACATTTACTAGTCTACAAAATCCCTAAGAATGGAATCGCTGCCTGCCTCCAAGCTCACGAATGGCTCTCTCCATGGCCACTATGTCATAAATCCAGTTAACAGTGGGTCTAGGACCCACCAAGGATGTCACTGAACCTATATGATCCTGTAAGATGGACCTGCCTTCACAGAGCCCAGAGTGCAGAGCACGTTAGCGCCTCACCTGATTCTCATCGGGGCGTCATCGATGTAATCTTGTTCCCCAGTTCCATCCCCACCTAGTGCTTCTGAGAGTGTTAAAGGGAAGACTCCTAAGTTCAGGAACACATCTTGTCACTGGCGACACTGCATTTGCCTTGGGGGACAGCCTTGCGTGCTACCCCCACCCCACAGCCCCACCCCCACTCAGTGCTGGCTCCACGTGGTGTTTGTGGCAGGTGGGAGGAATCTCCCACTCTTTCTCTGTTAATGGGCAACCACAGGAGGGCTGCCTTGCCTCACAAGGTCTTACAGAGTTTTAAGAGAAAACAGCCCTTTGGGGAAAGACTCAGATTGACCCTTCCTCTGGAGGGAAGCCCTGAAGTGGCAAGTCAGAACCACCTGCGGACGCTTTCAGGCGGTCGAGGGGTCAGCACAAGCACCTATTTTTATAAGTTTCACGCCATGATATGATGTGCTAATATTTTGTCTGAGACCGTCGTCGCTGGGCAGGACATTCTCTCCACGTCAGTGAGCCCCTTCGCTTGTGGACAAGCTCATCCTGGAGGCCCAAAGTTGTCATTAGCATTATGTTTCAACTTGGTCAATATGTACTTTATTTGCTTTGCTGCAGGTTAACAAATGGCAGTGGTTATATTTATCCCCTAAATTTCCAAATTTAGTCTTAATTATATGAGGATGCCTTTCTGTCACTGACACAGATAATGCCCAAGTGACTCGTGGGTTTGTACTGCTTTCTGTCATGGTTAAGAACCAAGAATGCCTCTTTTGGGGCACCTGGGTGGCCCAGTCAGTTAAGTGTCTGCCTTCGGTTCAGGTCATGATCTCAGGGTCCTGGCATCCAGCCTGGGACATAGCTCTGTGCTCAGCAGGGAGTCTGCTTCTCTCTCTCTTCCTCTCCCTCACCCTCTGCTCCTCCCCTGCCCCATGCTCGCTCGCACCCTCTCTCTCAAATAAATAAAATAGGTTTTAAAATTCTTTAAAAAAAAAAAGAATGCCTCTTTCTACAGATGTCTTTTTGGTTAGCTAAACAGGCCCCCTCCGTCTTGTTGAAAGAAATCACTGTAACTCACTTTATATTGTTTTAGCTTATGTAAACAAGGGGGAAAGTGTGCATCTCTGAATGTCTTATGTGTCTCTAAGGAAATTCTAGTGAGTCATCTTGTCAAATTAAAATATGAATTAGTCACCCCTCACCCCACATATATCTTTTAACTTTGATTTTTTCACTTTTTTGTAAAGTGAGACATGCTTCTGGACTGAAAGACTTCAAAAGAAGGCTCATAGTAGCTAATGCATGTATGTTTTACCTTCCTAAAACTATTATAAAAGCATTGATAAGAACAAGAAGAGATTGTAGGGCACCTGGGTGGCTCAGTCGTTAAGCTTCTGCCTTCGGCTCAGGTCATGATCCCAGGGTCCTGGGATCGAGCCCCACATCAGGCTCCCTCCTCGGCGGGAAGCCTGCTCTCCCTCTCCCACTCCCCCTGCTTGTGTTCCTGCTCTCACTATCTCTGTCTCTGTCAAATAAATAAATAAAATCTTAAAAAAAATTGTAATTTTTCGAAACATAAATGCCAGCATGAGCTCCATGAGAACTGATTTCACATGCTCAGATTATGCCCGCTCTGCGCCCCCCCCCCCAGCCACCCGCTAGTGCCTTCCCTGTGCTGCGAACAGTCCACCCCTCTCTCTGCCCAGCCAGGACTCACTGCTCTCTCTGCCACTGCCTTCAGGAGCCTCCCTTCAGCGCTGCCTGGCACAGCCCCAAGTTCCTTTCAGGGCAGTCCCTGACTCTCAAGTCCACCCCCTCTGCCCAAGCATCCTGCTCACCAGTGTCCCGGAGCCCTCAGGGCCGCGTCCATCCACGTCACAGCTTCCCCCACTCAGCTTTCCCTGCTCTCCCCAAACGCCTCGTCCTACTCAGACCTCTTCACTACCTGATTCGCCCAACCTCCCCCTCCACAAGGGGAGGGGGCGGGGACAGGCAT